ATCCCCTTCCTCCTTCAAATCATCTCCCTTCTACTTTTCATAGTTTTTAAATTTAGACTGGGCATCTGTGAGAAGATATGCTTTCTGGCTTATTTCATCGAAGATGGTGACTTGCAGTTCCAACCATTTTTCCACCAAGTAATATAATTCATCCTTCTGTATGACTGAATAATACTCATTTGTGTACGTATATATGTTTATCCATTTGTCTGCGAGTGGGCATCAACTGATTCTATAACTTGGCCCTTGTGAACAGTGCCATGAGTATCACAGATATGCACAATGTGTGGCTGTGGTTTATCTGGGTATATACCTAGGAGTGATATACCATGATAATATGATAATTCTATTTTTTGCGGGACCTCCATTTTTATTTCCATAGACTAAACTAAACTATACTTCTATCAGAAATGTAAAAGGGTTCCTTTTTCTCTACATTCTTGCTGGCTTTTGTTTGGAATTTCTTTTTTGTTTTGTTTTTGTGTTTTCTTGATGATAGGTATTCTGACTGGGGTGAAATGGAAACTTGATGTAACTTTTATAAGATTTACTTTTTATTGTATTATATGTGTGTGCTTATGCATCTGTGGAAGGGTATGAGCATGTAAGTATAAGTTGCCATGGAGGCCAGAGACATCAGATCACCTGCAGCTGGTGATTATAGGTAATTATAGGCAATTGTGAGATGCCTGATATGGGTGCTGGGAACTGAACTGAGGTCCTCTGCAGGAGCACTACAAACTCTTAACCAATGAGCCATCTCTCCAACCCCTCAATGTATTCTTAATTTGTGTTTCTCTGGTAGCTGAAGGTGTGAGCCTTTTTTTTTTCTTCATGTATTTATCAACCATTTGTACTTCTTTTGAGAACTACATATTCAGTTCCTTTACCCATTTATTGATTGGAATATAAAATACACTTAATAACTATTCACATTTAGATATAATGAACTGAACGTAGGTCAAATTGTTAAAACATCTGGCACGTAACAAATACTTTAGGATAGTTTCATTAAAATTAAGTTTTTCAACTGGGTTTTCATTCCCTTCTTCTACTGTAAGTACTTGATCTCAGATTATTTTAAAAGAAATTTAGGGCATTCTTAAGAGCACAGACTAAATACTATTTTGGCCAGTTTTTTAGAGCTATAACAGAATACCTAAAGCCAGACAATTTAGGGGGCAGTTGGATGGGGCATCAGGAGAAAGGGAAGGAAACAGAAAGAGAAACAGAGGGAGAGGCTTTTTTTTTGTTTGTTTTGTTTTGTTTTTTTCGAGACAGGGTTTCTCTGTGGCTTTGGAGGCTGTCCTGGAACTAGCTCTTGTAGACCAGGCTGGCCTGGAACTCACAGAGATCCCCCTGCCTCTGCCTCCCAAGTGCTGGGATTAAAGGCGTGCGCCACCAACGCCCGGCGTCAGAGGGAGAGGCTTAAAAAGTAATAAATACAGATGGTCTGTAACCATCTGTAACTAGGGCTCCAGGGCATCCAAAGACACACACACATACACACACACACACACACACACACAAGAAAGAGTTAAAATAAATCTTTCTTTAAAGAGCCCTCTCATGAGAAAAATCTCTAATCCATTCCTTCCTGTGGGCTCCACTTTAATTACCCAGACATCTCCACATGGCCCTACTTCCCACACTGACACATAAAGACCAAGCCTCAACATGAGTCTTGGTGGCTACAAACCATCAAAACAATTAACAGTTATGACTCAGTCACAGTCCTGGTTGCTCCATCCATTAACTGCTCTCAGCACGGGACACCAGCTGTTCTCCAGAACATGCCTGTGGTGTAGGGGAAGTTTGAAGTTTTCCCCTGAAGGTACCGTATCTGAGTATGTTGAAATAAGACTGCAGTCAACAGATTATCAAAAGCAGAGACTAAAATCAATAAAAATCTTGACTAAAATCAAGAGATTATTAACAAACACCTGAGCTACATGAAGAATGAAAACTTACTGAAGCCAGAGAGGATACATTCCTAAGAGAGGAAGTACAGTAAGGTTTGCAGGGGCCTTTAAAGAGTGATAATTACTGTTGGGTGGGGGGGTGGAGCATGACCCCAGAGTCTTGGAATCTCAACACTCCTGAGGCAGGAGGATTATGATTTCAACAGGACCCTGTCTCAAAAGAGGAAGAAAAAAAAAAGACGATTGAAGGTAATTGTGTTCCTCTTTAGTGGACCCGCCTTCAGGAGACAGTGAACTGCAGAGAAGTCCCTTTCCTACTTTAGGAGAAAAAGGGATAGAAAGAACCTGCCAATGACCGTAGAAGGGAGCAGAGAGCCCCTAAGGATGCTGCTTTCATCTGGTCCATTATTTTCTAATTAAAGTACATGCAAGAATCTCATAAAATTAGATAATATTAGTACTATTATCAAATAGTATGTAATACTAATATTAAAACTATTAATAACTAATTGAAAGCTGAGGAAGTGGCTGTTGAGACAGAGCCTTAGGTAGCAATCTTACTGCATAGCCTCCATACTACAGATCCTTCTGGCTCAACCTCACGAGTGCCGCCAAAAAAAATCTATCAATGTAAATAGTGTTTTTTATTCCTTATTAATACATTAAGCAACAAGATCTATTAGGGTAATTTCAAAGTGATAAAGAGCTATATCTTATATATATATATTATTTTTTATTTTTAAATTTAAATTAGAAACAAGGTTGCTTCTCATGTCAATTCCAGGTCACTCTCCCTTTCCCTCCCCTCTTCCCGTGCCCTCCCACCAACCCCCCCAATATCCCCTCATTTCCCCAGGGAGGGTGAGACCCTCCATGGGGGTGTCCATAGTCTGTCATTTCATCCAGGGCAGGGCCTAGACCCTCCCGCAAGAGTTCAGGGTGAGAGTGCATCTCTCACTGTTGGATGGGAGCCCAAAGTCCATTTGTATACCCGGGATAAATACTGATCTACTACCCAAGGCTCAATAGAATACCTAGGCCTCCTCACTGACATCCACATTCAGGGGGTCTTGATCAGTCCCATGCTGGATTCCCAGGCATCAGTCTGGGATTCAAGAGCTAACCCTTGTCAGGTCAGCTGTTTCTGGGGGTTAAACCAGCCCAGTCTTAATGTCTTTGGTCATCAGTCCTCCCTCTCTGTCACTGGATTTCTTGAGTTCAGCTCAGTGCTTAGCCATGGGAGTCTGCCTCTGCTTCCATCAGCCACTGAATGAAGGTTCTGTTTCCCAGACTCTCTGGCCATGGGATTGTAGGCTGGCACTCCCCAGATCTATGTCTAAAATCCATATGTGAGAGAGTACATGCCATGTTTCCCTTTTTGTGACTGGGTTACCTCGCTCAGGATGGTTTCTTCTAGTGTCATCCATTTGCCTGCGAATTTCAGGATTCCATTGTTTTTTTTTCTGCTGAATAGTACTCCATTGTGTAAATGTACCACATTTTCTCTAACCACTCTTCGGTTGAGGGGCATCTAGGTTGCTTCCAAGTTCTGACTATTACAAATAATGCTGCTATGAACATAGTGGAACAGACATCCTTGTTGTATGAATGGGAATCTTTTGGATATACGCCTAAGAGTGGAGTTGCTGGGTCTTGTGGTAGGTTTATTCCCATTTTTCTGAGGAATCTCCATACTGATTTCCAAAGTGGCTGAACCAGTTGGCACTCCCACCAGCAATAGAGGAGTGTTCCCCTTTCACCACATCCTCTCCAGCACAAATTGTCGTTGGTGTTTTTGATTTTAGCCATTCTGACAGGAGTGAGATGGTATCTCAGAGCTGTTTTGATTTGCATTTCCCGGATAGCTAAGGATGTTGAGCACTTTCTCAAGTGCCTCTCAGCCATTTGAGACTCCTCTATTGAGAATTAAGAGCCATATCTTAAACAATATTTCAAGATGCCTGGTAGCAATGGTAGCTGATAATAAGTGAGCATTTCCATTAGTAGCAGGGTCAGGGCACTATAGTTTGTTTCCTACATATCATCAGGAGGGGTACTACATTTCAGCTTAGAAATAAAAGAATAAATATGTACTTTTTTCTACCTGAAGTCACAGATTTCTCATACTTAGAACTCCACAACAAGCCCTTACTCCATGACAAAATTCTGGAAGTATCAACACATGTAATTGTAGAGTAGAATGAGGAAAAGGGAGAAAGCAAATACAATGAGATTTTTTTAAAGAAACATTATATTTATTTATTACTCTACACAAACATAGACAAGCCAGACTCCAGATCAAAAGCTGCTGCTGCCTTCGGAGGAAACCCTCCAACTGTCAGAGACTCTCAGACTTTTCCCACCCTGCCCCAGACACCAGGTAGAAATAGCACACTCTCTCTCTCTCTCTCTCTCTCTCTCTCTCTCTCTCTCTCTCTCTCTCTCTCTCTCTCTCTCTCTCTCTCCTTCACCACTGTAACCAAGAGGTCATGAACCTTCAGCATCTCATCTACAGGAGGTCACTGAGTATTAAGTTCAGATAGAACTGGTCCCCAGTTGAGGATGTATTTCTAGCCTCGCCAGAGAACACGAAACCAATCATTCAATAGTGAGTCATATATTCCTCCTTTAAAATATTATAAAACAGCACTCTCCTGATTCCAAAAGTGTAGTGTGACTGACAGATGCTTCTCTTTTATTAAACATCACAGTATTTATCAGCATATTGAGTAGTAAATGACTTTCAAATGTGGAAGTTTAGAAGGTAGTAATAAGGAGCTGGAGAGATGGCTTGGCAATTAAGAGCTCCGGCTACTCTTCCAGAGCACTGGGGTTCAGAAGTTTCAGCACCCACATGGTGCCTCACAACCAGTTGCAACTTCAGTTCAAGGGGATCTAATGCCTTCTTCTGGCCTCCATGAGAACTGCATGCATGTGGTACAGACATACAAGCAAGCAAACACCAAATAAGTAAGGCAACAATCTTTTTTTAAAAAGTAGAAGGTAAGGGGTTTGTTCATTGTATGTGTACCAAGAACAGTCTTTGTCTCCTCATGGGTGACTCTTTCCTTTCATTAGGAATAATGATGGCTGCCAAACATGAAGAAGGCCCCTGCATCAACTTCAGGGAAATGACATTTATTGACAACACACTTTACTTCACACGTAAGTCTAAACCAATAAGACAAATGCAGGGCTCGGATACAGGTATTCAACTAGAAAGGAAACCATGAAGTGAGATTGGACTCCTGTTTGTCATCCAATTCTACTGTAATGTTAATGAACTCCCCTCTCTTAAGAAACAAAAACAAAAAAACAGATTCCCAAGGCCTCAGTGCCCTGCCCCACATCATGGAGTGGCACTCCAGCAGTAGCTTACTAAGATGATGTCTGGTGCCCATCATAAAAATGTATCATTGAGGAAACATTGCTTCCCAAAAGAAATACAATTCATGATATTCTAGGCCTAGAGTTCTATGTACACCATTCATGTGAATACATTTGACCAAAAAAAAAATCTTCTAAGATTCCATGGTTGATTTGACTTCACTCAAAGGTCAGCTTTTTTTTTTTTTTTGGTAACTTCCTGGAAAATCCTTAGATGTCTTGCCATTTAAACAATAAATTTAAAAGGAAAGTTTTCCACTTCACTAAAAAATGCTTTAGCTATGTATTGAGGTTTACAAATCCTGGATTTAAATGTTTTAATTATTACTGTTTTATTTTATGTGCATAGGTATTTCTCCTGCATGTATATCTGTGTACTAGGAGCAGGAAGTGCTCTTAGAGGCCATAAAAGGGTGTTGGATCCCCTGGAACCAGACTTACAGAGGGTTGTGAGCTACCATGTGGGTGTTGGGAATTGAACCTGGGTCCTTTGGAAGAGCAGACAGTGTTTTTAACCACTGAGTCATCTCTCCAGCTCAAGATTTAAGTTTTATACCCAACATGCAAACCCTGATAAGCTTAATTTTATGAGCTCCTGAATGCTTGTCATCTGATATCCCTAATGGAAGTCAACAGAGCCATCACTATCACACAGAGGTTAGGGAGTAAGGAGTGGGGCCAGGCATGGTGGCACATGCCTTTAATTCCAGTACTTAGGAGAAAGAGATAGGTGGATCTCTGGTTTACAAAGTGAGTTCCAGGGAAGCCAGAGCAATTTACTAAAACCCTGGGTGGGGGTGGTGGAAGGAAGTATAGAGTTGCTAAAGGGCATGGGAGGGGACGTGTTGAGCTGCACTATATATAGAATAATAACATTATGTTTCCCTTTTCCTCCCTTTAGCCGAAGATGATGGTAAAGTATAAATTTATTTTTCTCTCTTTGCAAATTAGAAGGCACTTGACACATCCATTGTCTGCTAGCAGAAACTGTTCATAGAGATGTTTCCTTGGTAGTGAATAATCAGAATTGTATTAAATTCAGATTATTCTATGGTGAGAACATAATAAAACTTAAATTCCTTAGCTAATGGACTAGGTTGTTTCCATTTTACTACTGTTATTTACAGCACCCTTGCAGGGTTCTTGGAGATTTCTGTTGTCTGGTTTGACTTGACACTGGTTATTATTATATAACCTAGACTAGCCCAGATGTCACCTTATCACCTGGATTGGCCTCAAACTTGTGATCCTCCTGCCTTGGCCTCTCCAATGCAGCACACTCAGCAGCATTCTTGTACAACAGTGTTGACTGTTCAGGATAACAGGGAGTAGAAATGCCAGGTTGGCAGAAAAAGGGATAATGGGCAAATCAAAGCTTTAGTCCATTACACACAGCATACAAAGTGGGCTCTGCCTTAGATATTGGGGGGGGCACTTTTTCTGAATTTTCCTTTGTTAGAGGAAAAAAATTGTTCCCTCCATTGAGTTTACATGTGCACTAGCAAGAGATAATTCCTTAGTCTGGTGTGGTGGCACACACTTTAATCCCAGCACTCTGGGAGGCAGAGACAGGCAGAGCTCTGAGTTTTAGGCTAGCCTGACATACAGAGCAAGTTCCAGGACAGTTAAGACTACTGGCCATGTAGATTTTTAGTAAACGAATCACAGTGATACATCTTCACACTGTAAAGGAATATTCTGCAATAATCGAGAGAAGGAGAGATGAGGAAGGGAGACAGAGAGAGAGAGACAGAGAGGGGGGAGGGAGGGAGGGAGGGAGGGAGGGAGGGAGGGAGGGAGGGAGGGAGGGAGGGAGGGAGGGAGGGAGGGAGGGAGGGAGGGAGAGAAGACTTGAAACTACAGCTACAGCTGTGGACTGTAAGACACAGAACTCAGCTGGAAAACAAAGTAGTGACAACTGATGGACCTGTCGTGGCACAGGCCTCAAATTTACATAAATAGTTTTTTTTGTTTTTGTTTTTTGGGACTTTGTTGTTGTTTTGTTTTGGGTTTTGATTTTTCAGTACAGTATTTCTCTGTGTAGCCTGGTGTCCTGGAACTCGCTCTGTAGACCAGGCCAAAATTCATAGAGATCTGTCTGCCTTTGCTTCCTAAGTGCTGGGATTAAAGATGGGCACCACCACGTTGCAGCTGGTTAAGGACTTAAGATACTAACAAAATGCTATCATGAAGCCCCACAAGATGCAGTTATGAAGGGGAGGACAGGCAGAAGATCAGTTAGGGAAGAGGTCCCAGAGACAGGGGAATAAAGGGCTTGGTGATGTCTCAGAGCATGGACAGCTAAATAAAAGTGTAGGAAAACAAAGGAGACTGGCCAGAAAGTAAAATATCTGAACCTGAGGAGGGAGAGCAGTTCTGAGTACAAGCAGGAAACACTTTGGTATGCTCTTAGAAGCAGACTGAAACACTAAAGGCAGCTTGCTCATTGCTGCTTCTAGAACAGAGGATTGTGCTGACTCTGGAAACAGTATTATTAGGTCTGTTTGCTGATCTAATAAAACAACTTACCACTAATGATTCAATATATATTATAGGAGACCTGGAATCAGACGACTTTGGCAGGCTTGAAGGTGGTATAAGCACAGTAATACGAAACATTAATGACCAAGTTCTATTCGTTGACAGAAGAAAACCACCGGTGTTTGAGGATATGACTGATGCTGACCAACAGGGTACTTTTCTCTACTTATTTAAAAACACAGAGGTGACCACCAATTCTTCCTACTCCATTTTACTGCCTGCATTTCCAAATGTCAGATCCCATCCTTAGATGGAAAGTCACAGTAGTAAATATAATTTCACTTTAGAGAACACCCCTTTATTAGCTGGAGTGAGGAGTTTGATGCAATAAAGACACTGGTAGAGGCCACACCACTGTGAGTCTATATGTGTATCTCCAGTCCCCCTATATCAATTGCATTCTCAATAAAAGAAGCTTTTCAAGTTGGATCATTCGTCCCCATTGGTTATAGCTGAACATACTGCTGACACCATCAAAACTCAAATGAAAAGTAAAACGGCATTTCAAATAAATCTGTCTTCCACCAGAACATGAGAGTGCCTCTCAAAATAAACAAGCTTACCATGACTCTCATGATATAAGTTCCAAATATCACCGTTTTGGGCCTACTTAGATGTATATTCTTGAAAAAAATCCTATCCTAAAATTTTTGCCTTAAATGTTTTTAACACTCTATGACTAACATTATGTTTTGAGGCTAGCTTTATTTTTTATTTGAGACAGGATCTCATTATGTAGCCCTGGCTGTCCTGGAACTTGCTTTGTAGACTAAGCTATCCTAAGACTTACAGAGATCAGCCTGCCTCTGCCTCCAGAGTGCTGGAATTAAAGGTGTATAACACCTAGCAGGGTTCACAATGTGTTTAACACACTCAAGAAAAATATCAGAAATCAAGAAAAATATCAGAATATCTTTACCACAGTCAGAATACACTTAACACACTCATGTTGCCCACCCAACGGTTTATAACACCCTGTAAGTGTGGGTGGGCCTCATATCTGTTAACTGTCTGGTCAAACCTGAGTAAGGGTTGTGACTGATCTATTAAGGTGGATCTATCCTTTGTTAAATTTCTACAGATGCCAATTGGGGGGCTATCCTAATTAATGGCCTCACTTATTAATATTTATTTCAGCTAATGAACTCCAGACCAGACTGATAATATATATGTATAGAGATTCTAATGCAAAGGGACTGCCTGTAACCCTCTCTGTGGAGAATCAAAAAATGTTTACTCTCTCCTGTAAGGACAAAGTCATCTCCTTTCAGGTAAGAGTCACCTTCACTTTGCTTCTAGTCATATTAATGGACACAATTATAAAAGCCAGATATCCTCAGAACCCAAAGAACAAAGACAACCACTAAAATGGATGAGTACAGGGAATGGTCAAGCCCTTTGGCCTAGTGATGATACTTGGTTGTCTAATTTTGTCTCTGAGCCTGTCAGACAGGAAGAGACAGCTAAATGCTTTTGTTCAAACAGAGTTTCTTGCATCCCAGACTGACTTCAAGCTCAGTATATAGTTGAGGGTGACCTGGAACTTTCAACCCTTCCATCTCTACTCCCAGGAGCTAGGATTACAATTGTATGTCACCGTGCCAGGTCTCACGCTCAGGGTCTCCCACCAATGCAGACCTTATCCATCATTGCCATAGACTAGGTTCGGGTAAGACCCGCTTCATTTCCCTGTTATATCACCAGAGCTTTGTGGCCAAGGATTACTTCTCATTTAGACTTTAAGATTCAGCGTGGTCCTAGATCTTCTCGTGCAGCTTAAAGTATCTCCTTGAGTTGTGATTAACCAGGCACAGCTTCAGAAGGAGATGCTACTAGAGAACTTTATACCACCATCAGTTCACAGCCCATACTAGTTTGGGAAATAGCCAAGAACTATGGATGTCAATTTAAGTAGTCCAGTTGAAAGCACACCTGCAGAGTCTTCTGCATATCTTAAGAGAATAGAATGCATTTTTAATTCTAGAGATTCCCAATCAGTCCATAGGGACATGGGGATCTTTGCTACCCTGGGGTCAAAGTTAACTCCAAAATACCAGTTCTTTTATTAACATGGAAGAACCTACATTTTCTCATACATCCTGAAAAGGAGACAAGATGCAAGAATAGGAAACCCCTATTCTTTTCCTAGCAGTTGTAGGACAAGTGGGAGGGACTACCATTTCCAGAACCTAGTCCTGATTAGGCCCCTGGTGTCTGGACAACAGATTCAGGAAACAGTACTTGGTACTAAACTCATGACAGAAGGGAGAGACTACTGTCCACTGTCATGCTTGGCAGGAAAGCAGAGTCAGGGGCCACAGACTGAGTCAGTGCAGCTGGGCTATTGGGGAACCCAAGACTCAGCTGTAGAACAGCTGCTGGGTCTAATAATGCTACAGTTTAGTTTCAGGATCCACAGAAAGAAGGAGCTAAGATTCTGACACCTGCATCTCCCATGACTGATTCAGAAACTGGAGATACTGAGCTTAAGGAAGGAGACCATCAGTGTGTTTAGTTAAGGATGATTGAAGACAAGAACTGAAATTATTAGTCCAATGAGATGTCTTTGCTAGAACTTTACTTCACCATTAGCACACCTGAACTCCACTTGGTGGAAGAGAACAGAAGGAAGCTCTCTGGGCAAGGGGAACCAGGAGGCCGGTGTGTTGATAAGCTTGCCATGGTGGGAAAGGTCAGACTGGACGAGAAAATAGCAAGTTAGTAATTAAAGAGGGGAGGTCAGTACTCTTATTATTCCTATATTCAGGGTTTTTTTTTCTTAACTCATGAAAAAAGTAAATCTGCTTTAGGTCTGTTTAGTAATATGCTTCTAAATAAACTGCACATATTCAAATTGTTAAAAATCCTTTAAAAAATATTTCTGTATGTATGTCTGTGTGTATGTGTGCATCTTCAGAGGCCAGAGGGGAAGTTGGATCCCATGGTGCTGGAGTTTGGGCATTTGTGAGCTGTACCCCATGTGGGTGCTAGGAACCAAATTCCAGACTCTGAGAGGCCATAGCAGCAAGCCATCGCTCCAGCCCCAATTGTTTATATCCTCAAAGATTGTGTAATGTCTGGCCAGGCGGTGGTGGCGCACACCTTTAATCCCAGCCCTTGGGAGGCAGAGGCAGGCGGATCTTTGTAAGTTTGAGGCCAGCCTGGTCTACAAATGAGTTTGAAGACAGCCAGGACTGTTACACAGAGAAACCCTGTCTCAAAAAACGAACAACAACAAAAATTATGTAATTTGTGTTTTCTCCACAGGAAATGGATCCACCTGAATATATCAATGATACAGAAAGTGATATCATATTCTTTGAGAGAGGTGTTCCAGGACACAACAAGATACAATTTGAATCTTCACTGTACAAAGGACACTTTCTAGCTTGTGAAAAGGAGGATGATGTTTTCAAACTCATTTTGAAAGAAAAGGATGAAAATGGGGATAAATCTGTAATGTTCACTCTTACTACCTTACCTCACAGGCATTAAGTATTTTTGTGTTCCAGAAAGGCGATTAGAATACATGAGCCTTGTGATAAACCATTCATTCTGTGTTGCCATAACACAATACCCGAGGCTGCATAATTTATAAAGCAAACAGGTCCATTTATCTCATGTGTCTAGCCCAGTTCCTACTCCCTGGTGAATGACCCTGGCTGCATTACAACATGGAAGACAAAGGGAAAGGAATTAGCTGCGTGTGGCATAGCACACGGATGAGCCTCACTTCATAGCAACTCATTCTTGAGAGAGGCTTTAGTTCTCCCCATGCTGGAGCCCTCATGATCTGCTCATCTTCCACCTCTTAAATGTCTCACTGCCTTAATACAGTTATACTGAAGGTCAAGTTTCCAGCACATCTTTCAAAGCAATCTATTCTGTGACGGTGAAATAAATACCAATAATGGCTTCAACATGTCATTAAAGTATGGTAATAGCTGTATGGTGACTTTTAACTTGTGAGGTGGAGAGATGGCGCAGTGACTAAGAGCACTCGCCACTCTTCCAGAGGACTCGTGAGTATATGTGGGGTGTGCACTTGCCACACTGAGTGAGTGGAGTCTCGTCTCCTTCCATCTTTGTGTGGTTTCAGGTTCCAGGGTCTAGGAATCAAACTCATATCAACAGGCTTGCATAGAAGTGTCTTTATCTGTTGAGTCATCTTGCTGACTACATATGCTATCTTAGTCTTTATAATTTTTATTTCTCTGTGAAAAGTTTAAGCAAATAAGCATTATTAGGTAGTTCACACTGACTATGACCCCAGCTCCAGCAGCCCTGACACCTGACACCTCCTTCTGGTCTCTGTGGGCACTCACACACACACACACACACACACACACACACACACACACTCTCTCTCTCTCTCTCTCTCTCTCTCTCTCTCTCTCTCTCTCTCTACACACACACACATACGTGTGCGCACTGCAGGCGCACTTAAAAATAAAATCTAAGCACAGAACACACTGACAGCAACTTTATTTCATCATCCCTGGCCCGCTCTCCAGTATGTTTGGAGTTAGAAAACTGAAGGACTCAATTCTGCCCTGTTGGCTTTCTTTCTATCATTTCTTTGAGATCAAATCTCCTCAAGGCCTTGAATTCAGTCCTGCGTTGACACCCCAGGGTAGGCTTTACTCCTGATGGCTGATGCTTAAAGTGTGGGGTAGAGTGATGTGATTGAGACTGGATTTCAGAGTCAAACAACCTCATTTTTGAATCTTGTTCCGTAACCTAGGAATCAAAATGAACAAGAGATATAGACATGGATATACTCTTTCTGGGGACTCAGTGGCCAGACATATACAATGGAAACAACAGAATCACCTCTTCCACAGGGTAGCTGTGTATGTCACATGAGCTAAAGATCTTGGTGGCACACAGCACAGTTTACACTTCTCCAAGTGTCCACACCCACTTCCCCCTCAGCTTGTCACTCACATCACAGCTCAGACATGAGGCCTTTCCCTCCCTCTTTAGGTCATTTCTCTTCCTGCAGACTCCGTTCTCCTCAAGAGGAACAACACTTCATTGTCTTCTGCTCTTTTTTCCTGACTTAGACATATGTTGTAGTTTTTTTCTTCCTATCTTCTCTCAACACGTGGGCTTTATAATTTAAAAATTATAACTTAAAGAGAATAGTTATAATTTAATTTAGAACTTAAAGTATAGCTCATAAAAGCCTATTCCATTTTCCTTGTTAGTTTTTTTTCTCCAAATTCAAGGCCTTGATTATGCTGTACAGGAGAATTCAAATTTACCCTAGTGCATAGAAAACGGCTACTCACAATTGGAAATCTTGTTAATGTACTGACAGTTGTCCAAAACCTACACAGATGGCTGGGCTGTGTCACAGCTTCAAACAGCCTCAAAATTTGGCCTTTGATTTTTTTTTCCCTCCAGTGATGTCTGAGGTGTTGGTTCACGGCTAGGCCTCTCACTATTTTTATTTGTTTGTTTTGTTTAGTTTTTGTCTGGATATAAAGTCAGTGTATTCACAGAGCTCAGGTGTGAAAACTAGAAAGTAAAAGCAATAAATGGCACAGCCACTGAAAACATAAAGCTTGAGACAAGAGACCAGGAGGCTCAACCTGACTAAAGCAAGCCTTCAATTGAGGCATTTCTCCCTCCTTGTCTCCACCCCCATTGCTTTCTCCCCTTTCTTAGGAATGTTTTCTTTTTGTGTTCTGAAGTAGTCAGGCTCTCTAGAGGAACTGATAGAATAAACATTCTCTCTCTCTCTCTCTCTCTCTCTCTCACACACACACACACACACACACACACACACACACACACACACACAAGACCGACAGGCTGTGGTCCATGCAAGTTCAAGAATGCAGAAGTTGTTCACTCCACAATCTGGATGTGTCAGCTAGCCTTTACCACACACACCATCCCTAACAAGTAGACTCTAACGCCAGTGAAGAAATGAACTGACAGGCGAGAGAGAGGGTGAGCAGGCAAGAGACAGCATACTTCCTTCTTCCACATCTCTTATACAGGCTGCCTCTACAAGGTGTGGCCCGCTAAAGGCGGGTCTTCCCAACCCGAAAGATCTGGAGTAAGATATATCTTCTCATCTCAAAATATCCGAATTAAAAGTAGGACTTTCCCACTTCAAATGACTTAAGAATAATTTCCTCACAGGCGTACCCAACCACTTGGGGTTTAGTTAATTCCAGACGTAGTCAAGTTGACAACCAAGAACAGCCATCTCGGGCATCTTTTAATTTCTTCTACATGTTCTCACCATTCTGAAAACTGTGAAGACTAGATTTTAGATTTTCTAGGGTGCTCCTTTGTCCAGGATAGTATGTAAGTTCTATGGGGTAATACCAAGGTATCAGGGATGGCATGAGTAGGGAACCTGGTGCTCCGTTACTAACAACACACTGTGACATATGCTAAGACATCATTCCCTTGTGGTCTCTGGCCAGCTGCGCACAAAGTCGCTAATTAGCCAATTGCCACTCCTGTCCATGAAACACTTTCAGGAGTTTGGCTGTCTCCCCCTGCATGGTTGACATTCTTGGTCACTGCTCTAGGATCCGTTCTGCCTCCCTCCTTAAGTGTGCCGGTTGCTCAGGCCATTGGTGTCAGTTGACAGCCACTCTCTTGCCTCCCAGATCCCTGGCACAGTTCCATTCACTTGGGCATTGTCCTATCTTTGCCTTGATGGCATTTCCTTACTCACAGTGGTCCTTTGAGGGTGAGTGTGCGAAGGATGTTGGTCAAAATCCAAGTCAAGTATTTTCCCATGGTTGAGAGAAGAGAAATTCCTTTCTGAAGAGGCCAGGAGCTGATGTAGTCACTATTTGCTTAATCTTAAATCATTTTGTACCACTAGTAAGGAAAGAGCCAGCCTTAGGAGAAGCCAACACCCAGAGGGGAGAGCGAGGAGCCAGTGTCTGATAGAAGCACTCCTGCCTGATCCTTTAACACTGAGCTGCTATCAACCTTAAAGGGATTCTCTAGAGCTGTTACTGGGGGGCTTGTAAACTAATCTAGGCAGCCCCGGGAATGCTCCTTAGAACACTGAATGTCCCAGTTTTCTGGATCTGCAGGACTGCACTGAGGAAGGTCAGGTCTTAGCTACTCAGAAGACAGCATGTGAGTCCCTCTGTTTTTGTGTCTCATAAATGCAGGGAGGGATGTCGACCTCCCCTCATCCCTAGATCTCCACAGGGAAGCTCTCATTGGATCCTCTCCACCTCTGCCCCAGACCTGCTTTTTCAGAAGGTGACTGAGCCTGCACAACCTGTAATTCCACATCACTGGTCTCAGAATTACAGGTCATTTGGGTCCTTTAATGTTCCAAGTCTGGGTTGATGGTACAGTATAGAGAGAAACAGGCACATGGGGCGGGGGATGAAGGAAGGCCGATCAGAGGTTCAAAGTCATCCTTAACTGCATAGCAAGTATAGAACTAACCTGGCATAGAGGAAACCTTTCTTGGGAAAATAAAAAGAAGAAAAAGAAAAAACTAGGGAGCTGGTGAGATGGCTGGCAGCTTGCTACAGGGCCTGGGGCCTGAGTTTGGTCCTCAGGACCCACATGCTGGAGGAAAAGAACCAACTCCTGAGAGCTGTCACCCGACCTCCCCTTACTTGTTCCTCCTTGTAACATGAGTATGTGTGAAAACATGCACAATAAGTAAATAAAATATACTTTAAAATTTTACGAGCCTCCAAAGCTCTGAATTCTTGAGGACCCTAGTGAAGAGCCTAGACTGTCTGTGTTGAGGGGCAGAAGGTGACATCTGTGACTTAGGCTTTATCAGTGGCTAGTGGCCTCAGAATCTTCCGTGGTTAAAGATTTCCTCTAGAAAACAGAATGCCAATACCTTCTGGTCCAGGACTGTTGAGGTCACAGGTGCAGGCTGCGCACAGTGTGCAGAAGCAACATGCTGGCCCTGCCTGCCCAGCGTTCCTCTTTCACCTTGATAGCACTGCACACCCAAGCCTTCCAGTAAGTAACTGGAGAGGCGCCACCTTTGTTCTAGTGCCTTCGCATGGATAATTGAACTAAGCAAGGGATCAAACTTGCCCATATAAAATGTCTGTTGTTTGCCAAGCAATGTGTCACTGACTATACAGATGTCCACAAATCAAGTTCCTAACTTAGTCTCCAAGGTCAGACTAGTCTCAGGAAGGTGCACACAAGTTGCTTAAAGAAGAAAAAACAGCCCGAAGGTTAAGTGTAAGACAGGGTTTCTGCATTTTCCTAGGAAGTCATTAAGCCGTGCACTGTATCCTTTTATTAGTAGTAATAGCAGTATTAGTACTTACTAGAATCAATAGTAGTAGTATGTTTGTATGTGTGCATGCACACACATGCACTCGAGATCGCATGCTCACCCTGATTCGTGTGTGGAAGTCAGAAGACAACTTTTTTTTTTAAAGGAGAAACTCTTTTTTTATAAACTTTTTTTTTAAGATTTTATTTATTTATTATGAATACAACATCCTGCCTCTACATATGTCTGCACGCCAGGAGAGGGCACCAGATCTCATTACAGATGGTTGTGAGCCACCATGTGGTTGCTGGGAATTGAACTCAGGACCTCTGGAAGAGCAGTCAGTACTCTTAACCGCTGAGCCATCTCTCCAGCCCCAGAAGACAACTTTTAAGAGTCAATTTTCTCTCCCTCCACCATGTGGGTCCTGGGGGTTGAACCCAGTTCATCAGGATTGGCAGCCAGAACCCTTACCTGCTGAGGCATCTCACAAACCAGATTCTGAACTTCTGACCCTCCTACCTCAGACTGCCGAGCTTTAGCATTACGGGCGTATGCCACCATGCCCAATCCGACTATGTGTTCATTCTCACGTTTGCATAGAGGTCGTAACTTTATCTTATTTGGAAAGTTATCGTTTAACTACACAAGAGAGGGAGAGGTGATCTAAGAACG